GCGCACGCGCACGCGCACGCGCACGCACACGCACACGCACACGCACACGCCACGCACGCAGGCGCACGCGCACGCGCACGCGCACGCCACGCGCACCCACGGCACACGCACGCGCACGCGCACGCACGCACGCGCACCACGCGCACCACGCGCACCACGCGCACCACGCACGCGCACGCGCACGCGCACGCGCACGCGCGCACGCACGCACGCACGCACACACGCGCACGCGCACGCGCACGCGCACGCGCACGCGCACGCGAACGCGCACGCGCACGCGCACGCGCACACGCACACGCACACGCACACGCACACGCAAAGGCACGCGCACACGCACACGCACACGCACACGCACACGCACACGCACACGCACACGCACACGCACACGCACACGCACACGCATTCACCCACACACACACACACATATTCACACACACACGCACGTAAGCACACACACACACACACGCACACACATTTCACACACGCACGCACACACACACACACACGCACGCGCGGCGCACGCACGCACGCACGCACGTACGTACGTACGTACGTACGTATGTACGCACGCGCACGCGCGGGAGAAGAGGAGAAGGACGCGATCATTGGTTTCTATTGTAAACGAATGCCCAACCAAGGATTCTTGGGTGAAAAATCGATATCATTCGCGCGCTGGGGTGTTGGCCACTGCGAACGCGACGAACAAATGGACATACCCGCGTGGGCCACCACGCGATGGATCGCGCGCGTGGTTTCGCATCCAAGTTGCAGCCTTGCGTGGGCGGCCAGGACAGAATACGAGACCGTATGGATGCAATGTGTAATTTGGCATTGCCGTGCTATCGCGATGAACAAGTCAAACCATGAAGGTGCAACGGGGGTGTCAATCGGGCTCTGGTGGCAACGTGTAAAGCACGGCCCTGCCGACAAGAGCTCCCGTCGAGTACCCCGAGTTGCGTGCGCGCGAGCTCGTGCGCCGCAGGCCACGACCGTTCAGATTGCCACCAGTGTGGCTGTGACAGGAGGAATGGGTGGACCAGGGCGAAAAATCATGAGGATGGGGAAGGGAGACGCCTCCCGGACCGGAGGCTGCCCCAGGAAGCACGCTCCCAACCGCGCGCGGCAGGACAAGGCAGCGGCCACGGTGGCCTCCGAGGCGGGGTCGGCCGGCGTGCAGGAATACCAGAGCAAGGCGGCCGCGCGAGCGGGTCGGGCGTTGCGACGTGGTGGGGGGGAGGGGGTCGAGACCTGTCAGGAGGGGGATATCCACACAGACAAATAATCGTTTCTTCCACACGACATTGATCTTTTTGGAAGTGAAAGGGGGAAGCGGACATCCCGAAAATACTCGGCATAAGGGGGTCCCGGGCTTTGTGTCTATTTACGTGCGTCCTTGAATGTGTTGTTGAAGTTGGGGGCAGGCTTCCGGCGGCGAGGTGCTCTCCAGCATGCGGCCCTTGGGCTACCCGACCCGTTCCCCGGCTTTTTGCAGGGGCGGTCCCCGGAGGTTTTCCCGTGGAGGGCGGCTCTCTGGAGGCAGCGTGAGGACCCAGAAGCGCATGCCAAAAGCTCGAGCCCCGAGCCTCGATTCCCGTGCCGCCGCCCATGGCGCAGAGCATTCGAGGAGTTCCGCGCGGGTTTCTTGGATGGGCCTCCCCCAGCAGCGCCTCCAGCGCGCTCCGCGCGCCAGGGAGTGGGGCCAGCGCGAACCCAAGAAACCCGCACGGAACGCCCAAAAGGTTGTGGCTGTGCTGTCTTGTTTGGCTGCTGTTGTCTTTGCAGTTTCCCCCTCCCCTCTCTCTTCGCACCATGCAGATCAGAGGCTCCGCCACGGAGGTCCCCGCAGGAGGCCCGGGTCGCAGGTCGGAGGCCCCGCCCCAGAGGCCCGCCCCCGGAGGCCTCGCGCCGAGGCCCCCGCGCAGGGGCCGCCCCTGGAGGCCTGCGTGACGCCCTCGGAGGCCCAGGGCACGGCTTCAGAACGCGTTGGAGGGTCTCGACCTCGAGCCCCTCCAATCCGACGAAGGCATCTATACACCACCACCGTGCCAAGGCAGGGCCATCCTGGGCCCCAGGATGGTGTATAGACCCTCTTGGCCTCGGCCAGGAGGGCGTATACACCATCCTGGGGCCCAGGATGGCCCTGCCTTGGCACGGTGGTGGTGTATAGATGCCTCCTGCGAATCCAAGCGCTCGCCTCTCGCTCAGATGCAGCGGCCCCGGAGGCTTCGCTTTGGAGATTCCCACAGAAGCCTCGTTCAGGGGCACGGTATAGGGGAGGGGGGGGGACAGGCTCGGGGGGGGGGGACGCATCGAACTCCAATCGTCCATCGATCGCCGATAGGGGCCCGATAGCCCACCTCGCACAGAGACATGCGGTTTCGCTACTGGGAGCCCATCTATCGGCGATGTCCCGCCGATTCCTTCGAGCAGTGGCGAAGCGTCCCGGCTCGCCTATAGCCCCACCAAAACAATGTTCTAAGAACCTTTTGTGGTTCCCACGACATGTTTTTAGAACATTTCTGGCGGAGTTTGCCTTGTTTTAACACATCGGGTGAACGTTCTAAGAACATTGTGTTTGTTCTTGGAACATTGCTGGGTTCTAAGAACACTTCGTGGTAGGGCTATAGGAATGCCGGGACGGTCGGTCCCTGCTCAATTCCTGGCAGATGCTTATATACCCCCCGAGCCTGCCCTCCCCCCCTCGCTCCCCAAAGCCTCCGGAGGCTTCGTGGAGGTCCGTCGAGAGAGAGGGCCCACGTGTTTTCCGAGAGTCTCGAGCCTCGAGCCCCTCGGCTCCAGTGGGGCAGGTGGGGTCGGAGGATCGCGCCGCGTCGCCGAAGCAGCGGCCATGCGGCCCGATCCGGAGTCCGATGCTATCCGTCCCGACGTCGCCGGTGCATCGGCGAGGCATAGTCAGGCATGCCTACGATTCAGTCGGGCATGCCCCTCCCGGAGGATACATGAACAATAATAGTAAAACATAGTCAGGCGACGGTTTGTCATACTCTTCGGACTCTGTTTAGTTATTGGTGGAATATGTTTTATTTCTCCTCCCAAACCCGCCTGTTGTAAGAGGTAATGCCCGACCGAAGTCTATGATGGAGCTAAGCCGCTCCAGAGCTATCCAAAACGACCTCATAATTTTCAGAGCGCTCTGGTTCTCAAATATTCCCGATCCATTGTTGTCCGATGTTGGCCTCGTTATGCCTCCGTGGTGTGATCCTGCGACCTCATTTGCTCTGGCTCCATTTCGAAAGCCTGCACCGACCCAGATGTCTCGTGCCTTCTCTTTGTTGGCCATGTGGCCTGGGGACCGCACTGTCATCCCGAGCTGCTGTCTTTCACGGTCCTGGGGCCTTGTGAGGGCCTTCCGAGGAGGCCAACGACCGTCCGTCGTCGCAGGCGATGTGTCTATCCCGACCCCCGACTTTTCGACGAAAAAATGAAGCGGCTAAGAAAAGGAGGGGAACCCTGGGATAAACCCCCAGGGGGCTATTCGGACGCACCCCTATCGAGGATGGACGCCCCCTCTTAGGATATCCCAGGGTTGGGCCCCAAGTTTCAGGTCCACTCGAAAACCTCCCAAAGCCAGGGATAGGGGTCGACATATCCCCTGTTACGTCGTATTTCTGTTCGCCATCGTTTTCTCTGCGGCCTGCTCCCTGCGTGGCCGAATCTCCTTATGCGTGTGTTGCGGCCTGTCCTGGCGGTCCTCCTGGAGGGCCAGCGCGCTACAGGCGCGCGCCTGCCTCCCCTGCAGGGACGCCAGCCCTTGCTGTCGGTGGCCGCTTGGCACATTCGTTGCGGGGAAACCAAATTGTATACCGATGCCGCTACTTCCCGGACCCCTGCCATGGTGCCTCTGACCAGATTGTGGAGGCGAGTCCAGCAGTGGCGGCGAGGGCCTCGGGGGAACACAAATCGCGCCGAGGGTGGCTGAGCATGGGTCCAGACATCCGACGTCTTGTTTTTTTCAGGACGGCGTTCCCAGAAGTCCAGACCCTTTCTCCGGGGCCAGTTTTTCATCCTGAGCCTTTTTGTTGACGGTCCCGGGGCCCGGCGAGGGCCCCCCGAGGCCGAAGTTGGCCAAAAACCTCCCGTCCTGATGTTTGTTGCGATCACGTCTGGGGGTGCCTCTTCCTCCTCCGACCTTTGCTCTCGCTCCGTTTCCAGCAGCGCAGGTGCGCAGTTTGCAGTGCGGCCGCACCCTCCTGGGCTGCTGCCGTGCGCGGCGCCTCTCCCGTGCCCCGACGTCGCCGGTCTGGCCAAACCAAGTGGTGCTCTGCACGGCGCGGGGTGGTGTCAGAGGAGGGAGGAGGGAGTAGGGAGTAGGGAGGAGGGAGGAGGGAGGAGGGAGGAGGGAGGAGGGAGGAGGGAGGAGGAGGAGGAGGAGGAGGAGGAGGAGGAGGAGGAGGAGGAAGAGGGGGAAGATCAGGAGGAGTAGGAGGAATGCGGCACGAGGAAGAAGAGGAGGAGGAAGATGAGGAGGAGGAGGAGGAGCCAGGAGGAAGCGGGGAGGAGGAGGGTTACGTTGCATCTGCGGGGGGTTTTCGCCTGTGCACAAACTTGTTTTTGTTTTCTTGTGCCCGGCGCGGGCTCGGTGCAGATTCCATGCGGATTTGGCGTAGTTTCGACGTGGAGTCGACGTGGATTCGACGCGGATTCGACGAATCCGACATGGATTCGACACGAATCCCAGGCGGATAGGGACGCCCACGGGACAGACGAGGTCCCCCGAAGATGCAACAGAAGGAGGGGAGGAGGGGAAGAGGAGGAGGAAGGGAGGTGGGGGAGGAGGGGAGGAGGAGAGGGAGGGAGGGGGGAAGGGGAGGAAGGAGGGGAGGAAGAATGAGGGGAGGAGGAAGGAGGGGAGGAGGAAGGAGGGGAGGGAGAGGGAAGGAGGGGAGGGGGAAGGGAGGGGGGGAGGAGGAGAGGGAGGCGAAGGGAGGGAGGAGGGGGGGGCGGTACGTCAGGGGGCAAGATCCTGCCCGCCGCCTCAGATGGCAAAGATGCAGCGGCTCCGCTCCTTCGTGTCCACCCGAGCGCTGTGGGGCAAGTACCTCGAGCAGGAGCGGCTGGCCGGGCGGCTTCAGGACCAGCGGGGCGCCCAGCTTTTTCGGGGCCGGCAATTAGGGGGGTGATGACTAGGAGGGATGGGCGGATACCATGGCGTCGGCCATGATATTTCCTCCGATGTCATGGCGCCTCTCCTTATTTCATTACGTTCCTGGCCCCCCTCCCTGGGCCGCGCACATGCCGGCGGCCATGATTTGCGCCCCCCCCCTCTTGGACGCCTCCCTCTTGGCCGCCCCCGACTTGCGCGCGGAACTGCCCAGGCATCCAGCGTCTTGCATACCCATCTGTAGTTGAAAGTGGGTATTTCTGGATGTCCAGATTCCAATCTACACAATGATCAAGCTTAACCTTTTCCGTCCTCCTTCGGGGGTGGACGGAACCCAAACTACTTTCAACGCCTTCCTATTTCATGGTTCTTCCTATTTCTTCCGACCGATGGGTGTGTGCTTCCCGGTAGGAAAAGGCTCGTCCGTTCCACACTCAGCGTCCCTGCTGGTAGCACGATGGGCTGTCCACCTGCGTCGAACCAGAAACAAAAGACTGCACCTGGCGTGACCCGAATGACGGGAACGCTTCCCAAGCGGCAGCGTTCTGCAGTGCTTGACATTATATTTGGCATTGTATTGTTTGCCGTTGCTTGGCGTTGCTTGGCAGACAAAGAGACAAGGAGCCCAGGGAACCCGAGGACGGCGTCTTCAAACACAGTATGACAAGCCCAAGGAACTTGGTGGACCCGAGGACGGTCCCCTCAAACAGAGCAACGAAGCAGGACCAAGGTACTTGGGGAACCGGAGAAGGACCTCGTCCAGGAATCCAGGCAACGCCTTCTAAGTGAATGGACCCGGCGCGACTCCAACGAGGCGAAAGCTTCATATTGCATGGGCTTCATTGTTTGGCGTTGTTTGGCTTTGCTCTGCATTGCTTTGCAGTCCTTGGCGTTGCTTGGCATTGCTTAACATTGCTTGGCATTGCAGACTGGGGGGGCCGGTGAACCCGAGGAACAAGACCGGGGAGCCCGAGGAACCCAAGCAAGGATCGAGACAGGGGAAACCGAGAAGCAAGAGTCGGGAGCCCGAGGCAGTCAGACGGAGGACCCCGGGCGAGGCTTTGCGTAAGGAAACACGACCGGGGAACCCAGGCGCGACCACGTCCAGCAGCCAGCACAAAGCGTTTCCTCCAAAAGCCGAATTGGGGCACAAGGCCACAAAACCCTGGGAAACCACTTTGTCAGGAAACAAAGCCGAGGAACCCCAGAGTACCCTTGCGCGAACCCCCCCAGCACCAACCGGTTTCTTCACAAGCATGTAAGCGCCCTTCATCGAAGAAAAGGAAAACAGAACACGGCAGAAACATTAATTTTCGGAGCTCCGCGCGGATCTCTTGGACGAGCGCTGGGCACCCCCTGGCGGGTCCGTGCGACAGAGAAGGGAAGTCCAGCACGGATCCAAGAAGTCCGCGTGGAGTTCAGACAGTTTTATGTTCATGCCTCTCTTTGTCCCCCTACATCGGACAAAGTCAAGACTGGGGAGTAATAGGCGTACGCTTTCTGAATTGCGATCGGATTATTCGGAGCTGCTGGCGGCAAATTCCAGCGCTCGCGCGTTCCGCGTCGATCCCAGGGATCCGCGCAGACCTCAGACAATGTATGTTTCTGTAGTTCCCTCGTGTCCTGCGTAAGCCGATCTTGGAGCCGCCTGGGGGTCTGAGCTGGCCCAGCACTGATTCTGGCGAGCACGAAGAGGGGTCGAGGGCCCAGCTTCTGGGCTCGAGAAGCTTTTTTTGTTGTGCCTCCAGGGAGCGTTTGCAGGCCCCATGACTGTCAAAAACAGTTCCGGTGTGAAAAACGACACCAGACGGACACTAGGAGGGGTTCAGCGACCGATTATGAGGGGAGTCGCCCTTGTCCCCCCCACTTGATCGATTTTCTGGAGGCCCATCCAGTTCAGGCCCCCGGGCCGCTTCCAACGCCGATCCTGGTCTTTCACCCTTGGGCGCATGACTTCTATCCATGATCTCTATCCAGTGTCTATGCCTTTTAAAGCACTCGAAGACCATGCTTGCCGCGCATGTGGAACCAGTTTTGAGGCGTCCGAGTGCACGTCACACCGGGTTTTGGCAGAATTCGATTGCGCTCGGTGTTGGGCTTGCCACCCTGGATGCATTCGGGGCCAGGCTTGTGCGGCAAGTGCGTTTCAGATTCAGACCGGAGCTTGCTGTGTGAACTGCCGGGGCCATGTTTTCACACCCTTTTGTAAGGTAGGTTCGTGTGGCGCTGGCGCGCCGGCGATGCCGGCGAAGGCGGTAAAGGTTGAATTTGGCGACGCGGAAGCACGGAGGGACACAATAACGCCGGACCCGACGGAATTCAACCTTGAACGATCGGGGCCGCGACCGGTTGAAGGTTGAACAATGTCAAAACCTTTGCTCTGGCCGACGCAGCACGAATCTACCGTATCGTATATGCTTTCGAGCCTCGCCAGGATCGGCATAATTATGCCACCCATCTTGGTCCCACGGCGTCGGCCTGGCCGAGATTGGTGCTGGTGTATGGCCAACGTCATCCGAATGTGGGTTGGCGATGCAGTGGAGGCGCGCATCAAGAAACCAGGTGCTCTTCGTCAGGGTGCCCTGCGCTTCTTCGCTCCAGGCGCTGCGCGGTGACTTCCCGCGGACGTTGAAGAACTTGCTGCATTCGGGGTGCTCCAGGTCCCCGCCCCACGTGTGCGTCCCGCGCGCGAGGCTTCGTGGCTGGACTTCTTGCGAGGGTGTCTCGCGGCCGCGTCCGCACTGCACAGGGAGTGCCCGTCGGACCCGGCACGCAGCAGTGCCACGGGATCGGGGTTGGCAAGTTGGGCTTCGGCCCTGCTCCTGGGCGCCGCCGTCGATCGATCTCGTTGACTTTGTGGAAGTCGATCAATGGAGGGGAAGCGTGCTGCCGAATAACTCTCAGATGTTCACAACATGTTTCAAACATGTCTTACACATGTAAAGCACATGCTTCAAGCATTTCATCATTCGAGGCATGTTACAACATTTTCAGTACATCGTTTGTTCAATGATAGGATTGTTAGAGTGTCCATTGTCATGGCATTCACAACATTGACCATCCTTGGTCAACATCTGGACAGAACCCCCACCCTGACACGTCGATTAGTGCATTGTCCGTTTTCGGTTCTCGAGAGGGCGCCGCGGCCGTCCTTTTCCAGGCTTGCGCCCGCCAGGTTTGGGCCCGAGGTCGTTTCCACTAAACCACGTTTTGGAAAAGAGGGTTCTACCCATCCCCGAAATATGTTGTTTAAATCAATGCCTCGTACTTTTTCTTGACCGTCATCCTACGGGGGCCAATCTGAACGTTGGTTTACTTTGGGTCGGCAATCGGTGTGTTGTCCGTTTCGTGTTCGGTTTCTGTCAATAATGTGTTGTGTTATGTTGAACGTTTGTCTTCAACGGTTGTGATGTAGAAACGCATCTGGTTGGCCCGCGTTTTGTGTTTTGTCTTGGCTGCATCTTCATGGTTTTAGCTGTTCGTTTATTTTGACCTGTCCGCTGAACCTTACATTATACTCTACAGTTTGTTGCGCGCCGTCGTTGTGCTCTGTTTCCCTCATTGCGCTCAACAGTGGTGCGAGATGTGGCCGACTCTTTCCTACTGGTGTTCTGCCGGCCTTTTCGCAGTCCTGGTGCAGGAACAGGGGGGAGGACTGCGAGGATCGGCGGCGAGCTCAGGGGCAGAGTGCGAGGGGACAGGCCCTCTCAGAAGGCGGGGGGGACGATTCTCGGCAGGCGCCGCGCCCTCGGAGGAGTCTCCCGAGCCTTCTCCGAGCACATCGACGGCCTCTCGGAGGGCAGGAGGGCTCCCGAGCAGCCCCGACGCCTTTTGGAGAAGGCCCGCGCCCTCTCACCCGGGAGGATTCACATGGCTACGGTAAGACTGGGTACGATGCCCATCAGCAGTTCCTGCTCATTTTGAACCAGACTCGTTGTTCCTGGTCATTTTGAGCAGGACTCGTTGTCCGCGCCGCCGCGGGCGTTGTCCATTGAAGACAAGAAGCCGCCTGCCCAATAGCGGCCGCTGTCGGTTTTGGAGAAACTCTGCCGTTCGGCACTGTACCCATTTTTCCGTATCCATTTCGGGCGTCCACGGCTATTTCCACCCCATGCGCGCCGCCAAGTGCAGCAACAGTCGGGGACCCCCAAATGGGGTGGTGACCACACCGTGTGGTGAGTCGGTGGGGGTTCGGGGTCACCGCACGGTTTTGGGATTTGGGTCGTTTTTCGAGGATGTCTCGGGCGACTGGGGCCTCCAGGGTCCCAAGACCGTGCGGTGACGGACCGTGCGGTGAGGTCTCTTGTGGCTCCGAGGTCACCGCACGGTCTGTCACCACACGGTTTTGGGATCCCCAACACAGAGGGGGAGGCTTTGCGAGGAGGCGTGGCGGCATCCCCTCGTGCCCCGCCCCGGCAGGAGGTGGGCCTGCAGGCGCTAGTGCTCATGGCCGGGCACTGGGGGCCGCTGGCGACGGCCGAGCGGCGACGCCGCCGACGCCGCCGCCGACGAACGACGTCGCCTTTCGCCCAGACCTCCTCTCGTTGTGAAACAATTGCGACTGCAATGTTTGTTCCTTATTTTCGGCCTCCGGGACCCCTTCCCGGGCCTCGGGACTGTCATCAGGATGAAAGCCGTTCCCCAGGAAGGGATCCATGGACCTCGGGGGTCGACGGTCGACGTTGTGAAAACATTACGACGTCGGGAGTCTGGGTGGTTCTCGGCGGCGAGCCCGTGGGGGATCCGATCCGACTAGATTTTCCCGAGTCGATGCTGACCGAGCGTGCCCCCGAAGAGAGCCGTGTGTCCTCGGGTGTCCTCCGCCGGCGTCGAGCACAGGGGGGAGCGAGAGGGGGCGGGGCTTCTGAGGAGGCGGCGGGGCTTCTCAGGCACCCTCCGGCCTTCTGAAAAGCCCCGCCCCCTCTCTCTTGTTTCCTCCTCATCCTCCCTCCTCCTCCTCCTCCTCCTCCTCCTCCTCCTCCTTCCTCCTCCTCTCTCCTCCTCCTATCCTCCTCCTTCCTCCTCCTCCCTCCTCCCTCCGTCCTCCTCTCCTCCTCCTCCTCCTCCCTCCTCCTCTCTCCTCCTCCTCCTCCCTCCTCCTCCTCCTCCTCCTCCTCCTCCTCCTCCTCCTCCTCCTCCTCCTCCTCCTCTCGTCTCAAGCATTCGGCTCGACCGGCTCGACAGCGCGCGGGGCGGCGCGCGGTCGGGCCGGCATGCGATCACGTACCGGCGCGGGTCGGCGCAGGCCACCAGGGCCCATGGGGCGAGGCGGCCGAGGAGGACGCGGAGGAGGCAGCCGCATTCCCCCTGTGGAGGGAGGGCGCAAGGGGCAGCGTGCGGGCCCCGAGCCACTCGCGCCAGACCAGCCGCGGCCGCACAGGCGGGTGCCTGGTGTGCCCGAACTACCCCAGCGATGAAAGGTGGATTTGGGCCAAGAGAGCGGGCACCCCTGGCTGGGAGGGCGGCCGCAGCTGCGAATACAAGTGTGCCAAGTCCCTGCCAGACGCCAAGCAGGTGCAGTTCGAGATGCAAGCGCTGGCCAAGCTGGAGCTCAACGACACCAGCCTGCTGGCGCTGCAGTCGGTCGTCGCCGCGGCCAAAGGCTCGGGCGACAGCGCCGCAGCAGAGGCAGCGGCGCAGCTGGCCCAGATTCCCGCTGCAGGCGCCCGCGGCCGCAGCGAAGCAGCCGAACGAACCCAAGCTGGGTGTCAGGCTGGAGGCGGCGGCGCCGCGACGGCGCCCAGCACGCCAGCACCAGGAGAAAGCGGCCAACCAGGTCACGCAGGCGGAGCAGCGCAGAAATGAGCTGGTCGGCAAACTGGTTGAGGCCATGAGCGAGGTGCTCGCGGCCATGCTGGAACTGGACGTGCTGCAGCAGGAAATGCGCCAGGAAGGGGGGGCCTCGACCGAACGCGCAGTCCCAGCCACGGCGCCCGCAGACACTTGGAATTAGTTCCATGAGTTTGGACGAAAAGATCTTGACCTGCTCGACGAGGAGAACTGCATGAGGTACCAGCTTGCGGCAGGCCTTGCGGCGAGGGCCAAGAGCATCTTCGAGGCTTGCACGAAGGAGCGCATATCGGTCAAATGGGTGGCCAAGACGCTCAGAGAAATACAAGCCAAGGTCATGCGCCACGAGCGCAGACGCGGCGAAGACGGCAAGGATGCAGCCGAATCAGGCCAGTAGCTCGCCGCCGCAGACACCACTGCCCAAGGCGAACCAGGAAGCGCAGCAGGTGGCGCCAAAGTCGATTTCTCAGACCCACGGCAGATGGCAAAGTGCGCCGAGCAGACCGCAACCATCAATGCCCGCCAGAAGGCCGCCCCTGCCATAGGCGGCGCAGCGACCAGCACGCATGCGGCGTACGCTGACGTGGACGCTGCAGATGTTGGCGCTCGCTCCACCGCGGGCGCTGGCCCGCCAACTTGGTGCCAACTGGGGCGAGGGCTACGACGGTGGCTGGGGGCTGCCGGCGCGACCGCGGAGCCCGGCTGGGGGTGTGGCGGGAGGGGCGGCCTGGGGGCTCAGCCCCAAGGCCCACGCCTTGGGTCAAACAGCTGAGGGCGGCCCGCGATACACTGCCCCGGCGACCGACGGAGCGCTGGATGCCGCCAGCCAACCGCGGGGCGGGGTGGCAGCTACTATTGCGAGGACAAGGTATCAAGAAGGCGCGCTTCATGGGCGACACGAACGGCGCGCGCCCGCGCGGGCCAGACCGCCAACTGCCAGCGACAGGCCAGCGCGAGCAGCGGATGGACAGCGGAAGGCTTGACGAAGCCAGTGCAGGAGCGGAGTGGAGAAGGCAGGTCTCGTCGCTCGGCAAGCCCATGAGAAGCACTGGGAGTGTGCAAGTCTTCTGCGGCAGCTGCAGCCAGTGTGACGACGCCGCCCAGGCCTTCGTCGAGGCAGGGCAGGCCTTTCGGGCCTGGCGAAAGGGCGGGATAGGGAAAGGGGGTGGTCGGAATTTGATGCCTGCTGCTGGTCTGACACGCCGAGCAGCGTAGCTACATTTTTTTTCCCCCTAGCGCCGATTCTCTTCTTGTCCTTCCTTCCCTCTCCTCTCCAGCCGCCTTCCTTCGCACTTCCGCCTGAGCATGCATCTCGCGCGAACTCTGCGGCGCCAGAGCGGGCGCAGAACGAGCGAGCCTCGAAGCGCGCAGTCTGGGACGGCACTGTTCAGGCACGGGCACTTGGCCGTCCGGCGCAAGGGAGTCGGGCGAGGCGGTCTGGCACTCGATCGCGGGGCTGTCGATCCGAGCGCGCGCGGTGCGAGGCGCGGCACGGGCGCTGCGTGCGAACGCGATATCGCGAAGATGAGCTCTCCGCGCGTTTCGCAGCTCCCCGTAGGTTTAATGGCCCTCCTGAGCGATGCGTCGGGGCGCCGGGGGGGCTCGGCATTAGGGCTCGGTTGTCAATGGCTAAGGGCGCGTAGCGCGGGCGAAGGCACGCGCGCGACGTCTGGGGCACGAGCGGGCGCCGCGCTTGTTGCGCCCAGCTGGGCGCTGTCTTGGATCGGCGGGCGGCCCGCGATCAACGGCGGCGCCCGGATGGTCGAGGCAAACTTGCGCGGGGAACCGTTCCAGCAGCTGATTCCGGGCCGTTTTCATTTAGTTTACACGTCAGAATCCCCGCGTTGCTCCGTCGAGGTGTGCGTCGAGGAACACTGGCTGCGTGCAGCTGGGTCTGGCGCCGAACTGCGCGCGCGTTGCTAGCTCGGCGCGAAACTAGCTCCATGTAGCTAGTTTCGCGCCGAACTAGCTGCTGCCTGGAGCTAGTTTGGCGCGAAGTTGGCTGCATGTAGCTGGTTTCCCTCCGGATCAGCCCCATGTAGCTGGTTGGGGGGGGCAGGAGGAGGTGGGGGGGCGGGTTGGGCATTGGGCGAATGTTTCTTGCCACGTTTTGGGGGGCGCACCCCTGCTGAGTCCTGTCGCACACGCGTGCAGCCTTCGCGATTGCATGTGTCATTGTGCGCGCGCGTGCGAGCGCCTCTGGCGCGCTGCCCGCTCAGCGCGTTGAGCGCGCATGGATCGACCTCGCGTTCGTCGGTGCGCGCGCAAACGCACGGCCGCGGTGGAACGCGCGGGCAGGGCGCCAATTGCATCTGCATTGTGGCAGGCGCGCGCGCCCCCAGCGCACATCCAGGCATGCGAACAGGCTGGGGGCGCGTGATCTGCTTACAGGAGTCGCCACACCACTTCTACCATTAGCTGGGAAGTTTGAAGCACCCACCTCATGTTAGCAAATCCCCAACCTTGCCCTTTACTATCCCCCAATTTCGCTCGTCCCGAGCCTTCAACCTGCTGGGGCTGGCTGAACGCCGCCTGCTGCATGCGCAGTGCGACGCAGGGGGGCAGCGATTCAGGGCCTTCGGTTGGCGCGCCCTCCACTCGTGGACAGCGGCCGCTCCGAGCAAGCGGCCGACATCCAGGGGCCGGCAAGATGGCGCGCGCGGTGGACCGCGTCGGTTAAGACGCAGCGAGGTGAACACCATCGCGCATTTGGCGGACAAGATTGGAAGACGCGTCTTCCGCGACCAGCTGGGAGACGCTACGGTCGCTATACTCATGGTCCAGAGCGGCGCCTTCGCGCCCGTCAGCTGCCATGTGGACTGCAGCATAGGCCTCGCGGGAGTGAGCGCGACAAAGATGGGTGACCTGCTGCGCCTCGCTCGGTCTCTTGGCGCCCCGTTGGCCATCCTCGGGGACTTCATTTGCGCGTCAGACGGCATTGCGTCGCCCAGGTGGCGAGGCGCCATGGAGGCCCACATCGTGGCGCCGACCAGCGCAGACAGCACGTGCACGAGTGGCCGCGGGCGCATCATCGTGTACATGCAATGCTCCGACAGCGAAAGACCATTCATCCGCAGGCTGGATGCGGTTCGGCAGGTACCATGGGGACCCCACCTTGGTCTGCGCCTCTGCCGTGCAGCGCGATCTGGAGGGGCGCGAGCAAGGGCGCCTCGGCTGGCCAGGAAAAACGAGGTGCCGACCATCGCCGCACAGGTTGCCGATGGGGGCCAAGCGGGCTCAGCGGGGCTGCAACCTATATTCGAGCAGTGCCAAGGAGAAGGCCTCACGGACATGGGAATGACAGCGCGCCAGCACCACCTGAGTGACGCCTCCGCCGAGACAATGCCCGCGGCAGTCGGCGACGAAGACTGGAAGCAGGCAGCCAAAGCGACCCAGGACCTGCCAGTGGAGGAGGCGCCTACATGGATCTCGCGCTCCCTGGCCTTCCGGGCGGGCCCTGGCGACGCCGGCGCCCCGGGCAGGCGCTTCGGGCAATGCGCCGTGGCGGCCGAGAAGGCGCCGGCCGATGCGCAGGCCGCCGAGCAGGAGCAAAGCGGCCTGAGGCCGACGTGCGCGGGGCCCTTGCTGGCCGGCACACGGACTTCACGAAGACCGCGGCCGGGGGCGCGACCGGCCAGAGGAAGGCCATTGCGAAGGTCATCGCCAAGACCTGCCAGGACGTGCTGGCCGCGCAGAACCCTGCCGAGGACGGGGGCCGCGACGACTGCAGGGCACTCGGATGCGCCGAGGCGTTGGCCGCCCGCCAGCGCCCAGACCGCCCCCGACCCCGAGGGCGAGGCAGACACATGGGCGACCACGGTCCGCGAGGTTCGCGGCCGAGCCGAGGCGCGCGCCAGGGGGGCATGGCGGGGGACAATCGCGGCCAGCGGGCACTGGGCGGGCCAGGCGCTGCAAGGTTCGATGGGGGAAGAAAACAGATGCCCCAGCAAGCCCGGGGGGGGCTTCAGCGAGGTAACCATCCTGGCCGCGGGCGGCGGCGCGGAGGGCGACCTGGAGTTAGGCGCCGACTTGCGCGCCGGCGCCCGGGGCGACATGGCAACGCGGCGCGGGCGCCGCCTATTTGAATGACCCCATAGACCAGGTCTGCTTTAAGCCCCACGAGTCGAACAAGGAGCGAAGGCCGCGCGACTGCGATGACCCCGAGCAGGTCCCCCGCCAGTTCATGCAGGAGGCGGGCAGAGACTGCGACCGATGGCTACCAGGCGGAATACTTGGTCCTTGCACGGCCAGCGCGTCAGGAGCTGGTTAACATCGTCAACGATTGCGAGGAGCGCCTGGCCTGGCCGCGCCGGCTCTGCCGCGCCCGGCGCCGGCTGCTGCGGAAGCGCGACGGCGCCCTGGCAGGAGAAGAGCGACCAATTTGTTTGTTACCAGCAGTGGTGCGCACCTGGGTAAGGCGCGCCAAGCGAGAGGTTGGCCAGCGGCGCGAGGAGAAGGCGGCGTTCTGGGGCGCTGCCGTGGCGGGCAGCTCCGCGCTTCAGGCATTCCTCGTTGCAGCGTGTCTCGACGGGGTGGCCGCCCGAGGGCGCTCGGCGGAAGCCTGGGGGGGCATCTTTTTACGATAGCGGGACGACACCAACCCACCTACGGCGCGACGGCGTTGGAGTTTCAAGCCGTTGCCCCGCGAGGCCGCCGCGCCGCGCTGGCGCCGAACGCCGCCCAAACACCGCTCGCAGCAGCAGCGACATGGGTTCCGCGCGCTGGACGCGCGAGATCTCAGTGACCGAGTGTGCGCCGCTAGCCTTGCACAGCACCGGATGATGTTGTTCGGCGGCGCGCCGCCGCTACTCGTCGTCTTGCCCAGCCATGCGACGCGCGCAGCGCGCAAGCCGCTCGCGTTTTCCAGAACAGCATCACCGCTCCCCGTCGAGCTGATATGCGTCGCGCTTGTGGCGCTCGTCGAGCTGGCCAACGTCGTGGCGCAAGTCCCCGCCGCGATCCCACGCGGTGGAAATCGGGGAGGGGGGGGGGGGGGGGGGGGGGGGGGGGGGGCGTTGCGCGTCGCCGCGCTGATCCGCGCTGTGGCGATGGCACCCGCCGCGCCAATCAAACTCGCGATGCTGGCGTCCGTAGTTCTGGCCCTTGGCAACGGTCGAAATGGAATTGTTGCGTTCGGTCGAGCTGCTCGGTGTCAGCCGTTCGCGCCCGTCGCTCTGCCTTGCGCCGCGGTCGCGGCGCCCGACGGGCCGCCCTGTCTCCGCGCGGCCGCGCCGAACGCTGCGCGCTTAAAAAGTGCCCAAGGGAGCGAGTCGTGGCCAGCTGATCAGCGCCGCGTCGCCGGTGCCCGCCACGGCGCTTACCGATGGGCGCCCGCAGTGCCCGTCGCGCCGCCTCCTGGCGTCGCGCCGGGGGCGCGCGTCGCGCGGCCCTCCGGCGCCCGTCGAGTGGCTCAGCGTCGCGCCGGCGGCGCCGCTTGCGCTTGTAGCCGCGGAGCGACGCGGCCCGAACCCGACGGGCAACGGAGGGCGGAGGAACGAGCGGCAGGCGGGGCAGGAGGGGCGCGAAAAGGCAGGGGAAACGGCTGCAGCGTCGGCGGCGTCCGCGCCGCCAGTGCCGTCGCCGCGCGCGCTCGCGGCTGGCGCTGCGTAACCGCCAGCGGCGCTCTCGACGGAGGATCAAAGATAATTGGGGGGAATCGCTCGGCGGAAGCAGGGGGGCGGGGGCCGGACTGGGAAAGGAGGGGGGCGGGCGGGGAACGACGCGGGCGAAGCTGAATGAAGGAGGGAAGAGGGGGGGGCGCGAGGCGAGGGCGGGGGGGGCGGAGGGGCCGAGGAGGCGGGCGGGAAGGGAAGCGGGGGGGGGAAAGCCAGGCGCGCGATCAACGAGCAGGGGCGGGGTAGAGTGGGCGATGAAGGGGGGGGCGAGGAAGGCAGGGGCAGGGATACGCGACAAAGAAGATCGAAGGAGGATGGGGGGGCGGGCGGGGGGGGGGGGGGGGGGGGGCGAAAAGGGGGGGGGGGGGGGTGGCGGAAGCGGGGAAGGGCGAAGAAAGAGGAGGGGAACGATGGATGCGCAGGGAGGGGCTAGAAGACGCCGAAAGACACGGCCGTCCTGCACGCCGGCGGTTCTGGCGAGGAGGCGGCGCGCTGGGCGCCCCCGCAGGGGCCGCGGGGGCCAAGGCGCGGCCGAACCGGAGATGCCGCGCCCGAGCGGGGGCAGCCGGGCGCCCGCCGGCCTCGCTGAGGCAAGGGGGGGGGGGGGGGGGGGGGGGCCCCCCCGTAGCGCATGCCTCTTCTCTGCCATGTTTTTTTCACGTAGTATGCTCTGCGGCCTTGCAGCGGCCTTAGCGCATGCTATGGTTTCTGCGTGGGGCACGCTGCGGCCCCGATCGGGTTTTCCTGATCAGCGGGGCAGCCCGCGTTCGCGCCAGCCTCCTCTGTGCGGGGCCCCAGGGGGGCCTCCCAGGACAGGGGGCAAGGGCTTCCGGAGAGCCTGGAAAAGCCGGCGCGCCCTGCGCTGCTCCTGGCTGCGCCCGAGGAGGAGGAGCGCGGGGGGGTGGGGGGGGGGGGGCGAGGGCGAGGAGGGCCCAGATGGGGGAAGGGCAGAAGGGGGTGGGGGCGGAGGGAGAGGGAGGAGGAGAGGGAGAAGGGGGGGGAGGGGCGGGGACGGGCAGGGGGATTGGAGGGGGGGGGGGGGGGGGCGGGGGCGGGAGGAGGGGAGAAGAAGAGGACACGGTGGAGGTAGGGGTTCATTTCTGCATTGCTTTCTCGGCGTCGCCCCTGGCGCGCGGCGGCAGTCGTCGTTCTTCGCGAGCGAGCTGAGCGGGCGCCGTCGCTCGCGCTGGCGCTTCTTGCGTCAGTTGCGCGGAAGCCTGCGCGCGCCGCCCTCCTCCTTTCTCATCGTCGGGCCTTTCCTCAGGTTGTTCCGTTTCTTTTCTTGCCCACCTGCCTCCCCCCTTGCTTCCCCCCTTCGCCCCTCCTGTTCCCTCCCTTCCCCTTCCTCCTGCTTCTCTATCCCCTCTTCGCCCTTCCCTAGCCGTTCGCCCGCTTCGTGAGCGCCCCCGCGCCCGTCTGCATCCGCCGACTGGCATGCCCCCCCCCCTTCCCTCCCCCTTCCCCCCCTCGCGCAAAGCCGCGTCTATTCTGGCAATTTCGCGCGATGCCACCGCCGTGCCCGACCCGAATCTAACGGGCGCTTCAAAGCGCGCACGCTGGCCGGGCCCGATCCGGCACCGCCGAAACCGCGCGACGGGTCGAAAGTTCGCGCCGGGCTCGAAAATTTGACGGCCTACCTGAGTGAACCCGCGAGGGTCGAGCAACTCGCCATCCCAGCGCCGCGCGAACCCACGCTGCGCCCCGCGCGACAGGAAGCCCGCGAGTTCGGCGAGGCTTCGGCCCTCGCGCCGCACGGCGACGCCGCCCAGACAAGCGGCGAACTCACGGGACCACCCGGCCGCATTGACATTGACAACGAAGTGGCCCCAACCAGCGCGTCGAAGTCCCGGCGGACTACGTTTGCCCAGCGCGTCGTCATCGCGCCGTGGTTGGTCGGGGAACGCCGCGCGAAGGACGTCGAGGCAAGGTCGCAAACATCTATCGCGGCGCGCCGTAGATGCGGCGGCGTCGCGCGTTTCTCGGCCTATCTTCCCGGCAGGAAAATCATGCGACAGTGTCGAGACCTGGCCAGGCTCACGCAGATGGCCGAGCGCCTGGACTGCCCGCCCGTGGAGCTGCACACGCGCGCCCTCATGCACGCGGCCCCGCGCGCGGCGAGGGCCTCTGGCGCGCGCTGGCCACCCGTGGCGCCGTGCAATAGCATTGTTGCTGGGTGCTCGCGCGCCAACAACTCAGCGCGCGCGGCGCCGCGCGAGGCCCCGAAGTGCGCGCGGCAGAGGGCCCCGGGGACCTGGCCCAGACTGCGCGTGGTCGACCTCCAGATTCGGGCACAAGGGCATGCCAGCATTGCCGGGCACCAGCTCGCCGCAGGCGCCGAGGCCATGGGCCAGCTGCCCATCAAGTCGGTCCTCCTCGCCACCCATCCTGCGATCCGCGATGCCGCGGGCCAGGCGGCGAGCTCGCATGGCTTGGCCCTGGCGCGGGCAGCCGTCGCGGAGGACTTGGGGCGCGACGCCGCCCTCGGGAAGCGCGCCGGCGCTGCGTCGCGCGGCGCAGCCGCGGAGCGCTGGCTAGCTCGCGCAGGAGACGAGGGCCCTCTGTTCTTGCGAGCGGCGCGCTGGTGGCGCCGAGCCGCCAGGCTCTATCGCGCCAGCGCCAGGACTAAGCAACTGCGCGAAAGGGCTGCGACGGGCATGGCCTCGCGCGACGTCCGGCGCACCAGGGCCGCGGCCGCGGACGTGGCGGGGGTCGCTGCTGGACGTCCTGCAGTTCGCGCGCGGGGCCAAGTGGCCCTTGGCAGCCAACGTCACCAGGCAGGTCGGCCAGTGGGTGAAGCTGCGGGGGGCCAGCGCAGACTTCCAAGACCACCTGCGAGCTGGGTGGCGCGCAGTTGTTTGGCACCTGGCCAAGGCTACCAAGAGGGGGCGGTGGCAGGCGGCCACGGGCCCCGCGGCAGCCCTCCAACTGGCCCTAGAGCCGTTTGGGTGGGGAGCTAGAGAAGCCAACCTCTGGGCCGACCACCTGGGCGAGAGGCGGCAATTCAGCGACCGTTAGCAGGCCAACATCAGCGAGGTCGAGGACGCGATTGCAGACGCTGCGGAGGCCTGGCCGTGGAAACAGGCCAGCAGACACCCCGATGGGGCTTGGCTCGCTGCGGGATGGGAGCGGACGACGCCCCGCTGCGCCGCGCTCACGAGCGCGCCGCTACCAAGGCCATTGGCCACCCGTGGATTGCGCGCGCGGCCGACTCGTGCGACAGGGCCCTTGCGGTGAGATACGACCTTTTGGAGGTGGCATTGTGGGCGCGAGGATTGCTGTTGAAGCCCATGTGCCCAGCGGGGCCCCCGCTAACCTGGGGCAGCCTGAACAACGACAGATGGGCGACCGGCGGCGAGTACCTCGAGTGGAAGAACGGCGCCATCTCAGCAGTTAGGGCGTTCACTGACAAGCGGGCGGGCAGGGCAGGATGGGGTGTGGCGTTCGAACTGCCGCCTGGCCACAGTGGCTACTACCCCCGCGACGCGTGCCCTGCTTGGTTCGGCATGGTCGACGGTGCGCCAAACTATCGGTGTTGCCGAGCTTGCGGCCGTGCGCTGGACGTCGCTGCCCGCCAGAGGCCCACTCATCATTTCAACTTGCTCACGAACTGCGTGCTTTCCGCGGGCCCCTCGCTAGATGGCGGGCAAAGATGCGCGCTGCCATGGCGGCCAGGGAAGGCGGCGTTCAGGACGTCTACATCCGCAAATGCTACTCGCACGTATACATCCCCACCTTTCAGCTGACAAAAGAGTCAATGGATACCACTACGGGCAACCGAGATTGCCGATGCGCACGCGCAGAGAGGTTCATAGATGGCTGGCGGCCAGCCTCATTGCTCCACTGGTAGCGATACTCGCAGAACGCGAACGGCCGCTCCGCAGAATGCGTCAGCGCAGCGGCGCGGCCATGGCGCACATCGCGGGGCTCGACCACCCCAGGCTCCAGAGCGACAGACGTGCAGGGATGCGGCGCCGATCACTCGAGCACCGCGAGCGGCTAGAGGCGGCCAGTGGGCATCGCATGCACGAGCGCTCCGACGCCAAGTTAGCGTGCTTCGAGCGCGGCAAGGCCCCACATAAAGTCTCCCTCGCGGACTGGAGGCAGAGCAACGCCTGCAGCTCGATGCCAGTCCTGGCCAACGCGCACGGCCACGCTGCGGGCGTCGACAACAGTGAGTGCGCCAAGCTATTGCCGCGCGGGGCCATGCACATCTCGCGCAACCTCAGCTTCCTGCGTGGCCGATGCTGGAGCTGGTGGCGCGGACCCATGGGATCCCTCGCGACTCATGGCCGCTGCCGCGCGTTGAAGTTGAAGGAGCCCCGCAGAGGATGGAGGACACAAGCGGCCAAGCACCAGCATGGCATACTAACAGAAGGGGTGCGCCAACGCCAGGGAAGTCGCAATGGCCCGGCGGATCCCCGGCGCCGACGGGGCGCCTCCGACGTCGGAAAGGCAGGGGCCCCGACAATAATTGCGACGGGGAGCAAGGGTGGCGAAAAGGATTCGGGAACATCGCGTACTCCACAAACAAGCTGGGGGAGCGGATGCGACCGACTCGAACGGGCCGAGGGCCGTGAGCTACTTCATGGATTTTGCTGTTGTGGCTGTTGTAACTTGGTTTGCGGGGGGATAACAATTGAGTTATGCAAGTGCAATATGTAATTTTGTAACTCGAGTTATAACTTTTTGTAATGTTGGCCGTGTTTGAAAGGTTTTCCGTCTGACGTTTGATAACTTTTCATAACTTTTCATAACTTTTCATAACTTTTCATAACTTTTCATAACTTTTCATAACTTTTCATAACTTTTCGTAACGTTTCGGAGCGTTTTATATAGAATAGTGCACAACACTCCCAGACAGCCCACTAGCATTTTAACACGCCTTTGCCGCGCAGGCGGCGGTGGATCATAGCGTCACTGCTGGTGCTCCTGCCCCCACCCTCGGGCTTGCCGCCTGTTCTTCTGTAGCCGCGCGGGCCCAAACTGATCCATGTGCATGGCGCATCCGCCCAAACGTCCGCGGTTTCTTGCGCTATGTGGAATTTCGACGTCTCTCGGATCAGTGGCTCGCGCCATCGCAGCGGCGCGAGAAGAAGGTAACCTTGACAACCCGACGAACCTAGGGCCTCAGCTTGTGCGGCACATAAACGGAGTGAGTACGAACTACGGAGGCCTGTACACGAATGTTGATGTGGAGATGGACGATGGCACGCGCATGCCAGTTCAATTGATCAATCCATTCGCTCTTCTATATTGGTTAACGTCCACTGTTCCTGCCTTCGCCAGGCTGCTGAAGGATTGCACGGCAGGACATGAGTTCGCCCACGTCGCCCTCTGGGCGGACGAAACCAGCGCGGGCAACCAGCTCAGACCAGATTCGGTCAACAAGTACTGCGTTGGGTATTGGACAATATGTCAGTTCCCCAGCTGGTTCCGATCTCAAGATTTCGGTTGGTTTCCAGCGTTCGTGATCGAGTATGACCTGCTCGCTCGGATTCGACGCAAGCTGGCGGGCCTCATGAAATATGTTGTTCATGCGTTTTTCACTGGGCTCGGCGTCGGGCAGTTCAGTTTCCCAGGAGGCATGCGCCTCCCAGATGGCAGAGGCGGAGTCTTCGCGTTGCGGGGCGACCTGCATTGTTGTATCATGGACGAGAAGGCTCACAAGGAATGCCGATCTACAAAAGGTGCTGCAGGAACATCCTGCTGCGCGCTGTGTTCAAACATCTGCAATAGTCTGCCCGAGGCTTGCCAAGATGACGATTATATTTTCCATTACGCCACGGCGACCCCAGAAGTGTTCCACAGGAAAACAGACGATCGAGCCTGGGAACTTGTAGAAGATCTAATTGCCAAGAGGCCACTTTTAAGCAATAAAGAATTCGAGCTTCTGGAGCAATCATACGGGCTCAACTTTGAGCCAGGCGGCTTGGCATTTGACGTCTCACTCAAACATGTGTATCGGCCAGTCAGTAGCCTATATTATGACTGGATGCACTGCCTCATCGCATCGGGCGGCGTGTGGCAATGGCATTGCAATTATTTTTTAAAGGAGCTGCAGTCGCGCGGCATCGCCCTGAGTGATCTGGACGACTTTGCCGCTGAGATGTTGCGCCACGCTGACACCAGCCCTGAGTTCCGCAGGCTCCAGCGGGATTTTTTCCAGAAGCGGTACGTGCCCAGGCCGAATAAACATTCTAGGTTTTTTGCCAGCGAGGGGCTCGTTGCATTGAAGGTGCTTGACTATACTTGCGCGGTTGGCGAGATTCCGACGTGGGGGTGGGGGGAGGGGGGCAGCGCGCGCTCGGGGGCGATGGGCATTCAGGATACGCGGGAACGTTCGGAACACTTTATTTCGCACTTAGCGGGTGCAAGCGAACTCCACATCCTTGGCACGGTTGCCCGCCTGGGCGCGGGCAGGCGGATTTTTGTTTCATGGTGTTGGACGCGCAAGGCATATTGGCCGAGCGCAGTAGGGCTGTCCATTTGATGGCGAGCATCCTCGGCATTTTGCATCTCGGGGATCAGGCCGTGCCATTGGCCGATCGATTCACAGCGTTGTATCAGGAGCATCACCAGCTCATGATTGAGCTGTACGGTCTTGCGAGCGTGAAGCCCAAGACCCACATGACGTACCACGTCGCTGATCACCTCCGAGACTTTAAAGTTAACCTGTCCTGTTTCAGTTGCGAGCGGCGCCTGAGGCTAGTCAAAGGCGCGTGCCTGCACGCTGCGCGTCTGCCGATAGGGCGGCGCGCGAGGTCGGTCATGAACCGACTATTGCTGGATTTAGAGTGCAGGTTGTCGCAGTCACAGTGCAGCAGTTTCGCGCTCTGCTGCCCGAAGAAAGAAGCTCAAGATTTGGTTACCGCGTGGCCTCCGCGTGACAGACCATCTAGCGTGTTCGTGTCGAAGGGTTTGCATTGGCCCCGTGGCGTGTTAAGAGCTGGCCACATCATTTCAACGCAGTCGGAGGAACATGGAGGCGCGTATTTCTGCGTCTCAGGTTTCATTGAGGCCAAGTGGGCAATGCACCCAGACGTGCCTGTGCTGTTTTGCCTTGCCAAGCGCATGGCCCTTGCCCCGAGGGGCGGACCCGTGTGGCAGCACGCGGATCAGCTCGTTCGCATCGACGTCCAAGACGTCGCCAGAACGCATTTGGGTATCAAGAGCGGCAATGCCTTTCGCATGCTTCGCTCAGAATTCTGATTGTTCGCAGTCTCAAAAATTCATCGATCGGTGGGCGGTGCGCGGGGGGCGAGGCTCTGCCCGCCACCCAGATCATGCGGTTCGAAATCCCCCCCCTCTCCCATCGTCACGCCCCGTCCTCCTCCTCCCCCCCCCCCCTCCCTCCTCTCCCCCCTTGTCTTCCGCATCCTCCCCCGCGCTCCTTCCGTCCTCGCTCGAAGGATCATCCCCCTCGCCCGCGTCACCCTCTCTTTCTTTCGGCCCAGCATCACAGGCGCCCGACATTGGGGGCCGCGAAACCCACGACACCTTCGCAACGATTGCCAGGCCATACCTTGAGGCCTGCAAGGGGTTCCCCTCGGCTAGAACGTTCAAAACTCTGAGCCCCCAATCCCCGTCCCGCAGGTGCCCAGAAGGCGAAACGAGCTTCTGAACATACCCCATGGGCCCAGTGCCCAGTTGCGCCAGGGTCCTGATACTGATGATGATGATAATGATGATCGTGATGATGATGATGCTGATGATGATGATGATGATGAGGATGATGATGATGATGATGATGATGATGATGATTATGGTGCTGCTGCTGATGATGATGATGATGATGGTGATGATGATGATGATGATGATGATGATGATGATGATGATGGTACTGACAAGCAATTCCTCGGGGCGAAGGCTGGGGCCCCTGCTGGCTCTCAGGCACCCACGTGGGCCCCTGGCGTACGTCGCGGGCAACGGCGGGGTCTCCGACACGTTCGCATCGACGCAGCTTTTTTCGGCCCAAGGCGGCAGGATGGGCAGTTCTAGCCAGGGGGACTGGGGCTGCCCCGAGGATGGCCCCATCGCGACGGTGAGGGAGTCGTTCCCAGAGGGCACGATCACGAGTGCACAGTCGGAGCAGATCTTCTTGGACACCAGGTGCCGCGTCCACATCAGGGACCGCCAACGAGGAGAAGGCCGTCAGCTGTTCATCGTCGGTCGGTCGTGCAACATCAAGACCGCCCACGAGAAGGCCCTCGCCGTCGTCAAGAAGAACGGCATCACTGGTGGCAGGAAGCACGGCAAGAACCAGCCCCAGGGATCAGACGCCAGCGTGTCAATGCCATCATCGTGGGCACACTCGTCCTCATATGGCGACGGATGGTTCATGCCGACGGGGTGGCCCGTGCCGCCCGTGCCGTTGCATGACTCCTGGGCCGATGAGTGTGGGTGGTGGCACACGGACTCGAACCCTAACTTCATCGAGTGGAACCCCAAGTTCGGGGACATTGCATCCGACGAA